GAAGGAAGGTCAGCTAGCAGTCTGAAGCAGGAGCCTGGTTTGGGGCATGAAAAGGAAGATGGTAAAAGAGATGAGCAGCAAGAGAGAAAGGAACCTGTTACATCTCTTGCATTTTTTTCTCCTGAAAACGTCTATTCTCACTTTTTTGCTGCTGCTAACCATTGCTTATTATTATTTTCACTACGGAAAGAGGCATAAAAATTCAAGCAATGCAGTTCAGTTCAATCTCACACTGAGCTTGTAGCTTCAGAACCATCATTTTGGAGATAAGAGGACTCTCAGGAGAAAAAAAGACATTCTGGATCTAGTCCCAAGAAAAACCACCATGTTTCTGGAGTGACCAGCTGAACATTTTTTGCCTCCCGGACTAGGAAGATCCTCAGATATTTCTGCTTAGTAGATTGTAAAGCATACTTTCCTTTGAGCTTTATTTCATTGGCCATGCATAACTTGAGCGTGAAAATGTTTCATTTGCTTAGGATAGACTGCTCCTGGATTACAGGGTTATCCTCCATTTACGACAGTTCATTCAGTGACCATCTGCAGTTACGACGAGGCTGAAAAAAAGTGACTTATGACCGTTTTTCACCATTACAACCATATCAGAGTCCCCATGGTCACGTGATCGAAATTCAGACGTTTGGCAAGGGATTCATATTTATGACGGTTGCAATGTCTTGGGGTCATGAGATCAGCTTTTTGCGACCTTCTGACAAGAAAAATGGGGAAGCCGGATTCACTTAACAACCGTGTGACTCATTTAACAATGGCAGAAGTCTGTGGAGATTCTCCATTATCCAGGTCATGGTTGTCCCAAAGGTGCTTTTTTTCAAGAGGCCACTGGACTTTCTGGTTTTTCTTTGAAGAAGTTTCGCTTCTCATCCAAGAAGCTTCTTCGGCTCTTTCTTCTCTTATCCAAGAAGCTGAAGAAGCTTTTGAGATGAGAAGCGAAACCTCTTCAAAGAAAAACCAGAAAGTCCAGTGGCCTCTTGAAAAAGGAAAGCACCTTTGGGACTTTACAATGGCAGATTGACTTAGCAACCGTGTGGCTAATTTAACAACGGCAGATCCACTTAACAACAGTGGTGAGAAACAACGCACAATGGGACAAAACTTACTTAACAAATGTCTCATTTAGCAACAGAAATGTTGGGGTCGTAAGTCGAGGCCTACCTGTACACCTTTCAAGCTTTATTTAAAGGGGTTTTATATTTCCCCCCCCCCCACATTCAGAAACGATGAAAGCCTTGCTTAATGGGTTGCCTTGCCTTGTAGGCTGAGCTCCACAAGAAAGACGTGGAGCTGAATCTGGAAAAGGAGCAGAATAAGAGGCTCTGGGATCGAGACACGGGGAGCAGCATCACCATAGACAATCTGCGGAGAGAGCTGGACAACAAAAACATGGAGCTGCAGCGCGTGGACTCCGTCGTCAGGTCCTTGCAGATGGAGTGTGAAGGACAAATTCAGCGTCAGGTTAGAAAAGGAAGAAGGCCCCACCAAACCTGAGGAAAGCCCAGATCCTGAGCATTTCCCAAACTCCTAGAATACTTTATTTGGCCAAGCATGATTAGACACACAAGAAACTTTGTCTCCGGTGCAGAAATTCTCAGGATATACAATGCAAAGCCACCAAGTATTAATAATTATGCTATGATACCAATAACAGGGAGGTGGTAGACAAATTGAGAAGGATACTAGTAATACAGGTAGTCGACGTATGACCACAATTTATGTTCTTAAGTAAGACATTTGTGAAGTGAGTTTTGCCCCAATGGAGGTGGTAGAGAAGATGAGAAGGATACTACTGATAGAGGTAGTTTTTCGGCATAACGAGTAATGGATTTGCTTAACGGCTGGAGATATGCTTAGCAATCCTGGTGATTCTCTTAACAACCACGGCAAAAACGGCCATAAAAATGGAATTGGTTATATGGCTGACGCACTTTATGATGGTCGTGACTTATGACCATGACGGGCAGGCTCCATTGTGATCATAAGTTGAGGACTACTTGTATGAGCCGTGGTGGTGCAGTGGTTAGAATGCAGTATTGCAGGCTAGCTCACTGCTCACTGCCAGCAGTTCAATCCTGAAATGGCTCAAGGTTCACTCAGCCTTCCATCCTTCCGAGGTGGGTAAAATGAGGAGTCAGATTATTGGGGGCAATAGGCTGACTCTGGAAACTGTTTAGAGAGGGCTGTAAAACACTGGGAAGAGGTATATAAGTCTAAGTGCTCTTGCTATTATTTTGCACGCTCTGTGTTTAAGAATATTAGAAGAAAGGACAGTGGAAGATTACGATGCTCTCATGGCATGGGTCCCCAATCCGCGGTCTGTGAACCAGTACCAGGCCATGGCATGCCAGAAACTGGGCCGCACAAGAAAGCAAAACTCCATCTGCATCCCACAAAACCACACCCACTTCGGTTCATGGAAAAACGTCTCTCCACGGAACTGGTCCCTGGTACCCAAAAGATTGAAGGCCACTGTCAGCTGGTGCTCCGTTCAAAATCCAAGAAAGAAATACTTAGACTCTTGTAATTAGAGAAAAGATATCTTTTATTGGAAATTAAGTGGTAGCAACGAGAGAATTCTGAATCTGAGGAAATAGGCGCGTACATCACATATATCAAGGGAGTGAAATGTCCCCACCCCCAACAGTTCAAACGGTTCTTCCAATTAAAAGTTGTGAAGCTCAGCATGTGGACATCTCCAGGTGGTGATGATTAGTTGACCTTAGCTTACTCAGATAAAAGTTTGCAGTTGCGCAGAGAAGAGAACGCCAAGCAAGAAATAGAAACCCTCCTCAGTTTATACAATATTAGTTAGTAACATCTCCAGCCTTCCCCCTTCCTCCCCCCATTACTCATGACAGCCAGAAAGAAGATCTTGAAGGCTGACAGCCACTGCCTTATGTCTATGGAGATTCTCAGCCATCCAGGTCATGGTTGTCCCAAAGGTGTTTTTTCCAAGGGACAATTGGACTTTCTGGTTTTTCTTGGAAGACGTTTCACTTCTCATCCAAGAAGCTTCTTCAGCTCTGACTGGATGGTGGGGAAGGGAAGGATTGATACTCCTTGCAGACAGTTGGTCATTTGCATCCCTTTAAAGGGTCCTTGAGGCCACTTGGAGGTTTATCCATGTTCTCAGGGTCACCTGAGTGGTGCAAATGGGTGTGGAGTCTCCTTGGAACTGTTGAAAGGACGGTGTTGTAGACTAGAGATTGGTGATGTCGTATCCCTCCCGCTCTGTTGAGGGAGGGCTGTTCAGTTTTGACATAGATGGCCTTCTCCAATCTACAACATAGTCCTTTCAACAGTTCTAAGATGGCTCCACCCCTGTTTGCACCACTGAGGTGCAAAAGAATGCAAATGACCAGCTTCGAGCAATCACTAAGTGAACTGTTGTAAGTTGAGGACTACCTGTGCTGGCATGATAGGAGAATGCTCCAACCCTTTTGCTAGTTGCCACATTAGCGAGTTTTTGTGAGTTAGGAAAGACGCTACCAGTCTCCCGGTTATTATTAAAATGCTGATTATGTACATAGGTGGAGAGAAAGAATCATGGCAGGACTCTGATACGTTCCCCAGTTGAAGGAGGATTGCAAATTTCAACTGGTGTAGTTTCCCCCCCCCCCCCCCCCAAAAAAAAAGGTTTACTGCAGAACCTCATCTAGAGTAGAGAAGTTTTAGTGACAAGAAGAACTAGGGGAGACATGATAGCAATGTTCCAATATCTGAGGGGCTGCCACAAAGAAGAGGGAGTCAAGCTATTCTCCAAAGCACCTGAGGGCAGGACAAGAAGCAATGGGTGGAAACTAATCAAGGAGAGAAGCAACCTAGAACTGAGGAGAAAATTCTTAACAGTGTGAACAATTAATCAGTGGAACTACTTGCCTCCAGAAGTTGTGAATGCTCCAACACTGGAAGTTTTTAAGAAGAGATTGGATAACCATTTGTCTGAAGTGGTGTAGGGTTTCCTGCCTAAGCAGGGGGTTGGGCTAGATCACCTCCAAGGCCCCTTCCAACTCTGTTATTCTGTTCCAGGGGTCTTCAGACTTGACAGCTTTAAGACTTGTGGACTTCAACTCCCAGAATTCCTCCTCCAGTCATGTTAGGTCAGGAATTCTGGGAATTGAAGTCCACAAGTCTTAAACTTGCCCAGTTTGATGGCCTTTGCTCTATTCTCTTCTAAATTATTAGCCAGTGGTGGTAGGATTAGAGAAATGAGGCTCCCTCCGTCATGTGGTCCAGAGACTATCTCTGAGCCTGGTCTACTTGTCACGATATTTTTTTTATTATTGATTGATTGATCGGATTTATATTGCCGCCTATTTGCCCATGGCGACTCAAGGCGGCCTACAAGGTATAAAACCACATTTAAAACATTAAAACTAATAAGAAGAATCAAATAAATTAATATAATAAAATCACCCCCTCCCCACCTCCCACCCCAGCAACAGCAGATCATATGAGCCATTTAATGGGCTCCATCTTATTCTGGGTTCCCCAGGCCCGCTGGCAGAACCAGGTCTTCAGCACCTTCCGGAAGAGTGTTAGAGTGGGGGCCATTCTAATCTCTGGGGGAATGATGTTCCAGAGAGAGGAAGCCACCATGGAGAAGGCCTTTGTGAGGAGTAGAGTGGTGGTTGGTGTCTCCCGAGGCTTGTAGGCCAGAAGCCAGGTTTCCCTTAAGCCGCTCCTCTTCCTAGTTCTGTTCCATTTGGGAATAATCTCCTTCGCTGCAGTGAAAGCATTGGGGAAAACCATGTCTCTTTCCTTTTCCAGATGTCTGCAATTAAAGAGAGGAACGACAGCCTAGAGAGGGAATCTGCTGTCTTGGCCCAGCTAAATTCAACCAAAGAAAAGCTCCATAAAACTGTCCAAGATCTGAACGAAAGGAAATTAAGCCTGGATTCTGCAGAGAGGGTCATCGCTGATCTGAGATGCTCCCACCTGGAGAAGGAAAGAGTCATCGAACGCACCAACGATGAGATCGAGAAGCTGCGCGGACGGGTGGATAGCAAACGGGAGGAGTTCCAGCAACTGAAAAGTGAAAGCGAACTCTTGCGGAACGTGCAGTCCGACTGCGAGTCCCTGAAGGTGCAGCTGGTGGAGAAGGAGAAGGTGATTGAGATCCTCCAGAAGCAAATCGAGAGCATGACCGAGATCGTAAGCCAACATGGCCGGACAGCTGGCTCCATGGAGACAGAGAAGTCTCAGCTCATAAAAGAAGTCGGCGAGAAGAAGGTGGAACTCCAAGAAATGAAGGTGCCTAACTTTCACTGCCTTGCCTCTGCTGAAAGACGCATTTTTCTTTTTGATCCCAGGGAGTCCTCGACTTACGACTGCAATTGAGCCCGATGTTTCTGTTGCTAAGCGAGAAACTTTTTAAATAAACCCCATTTTACAGTCACTAAATGAACTATTGTAAGTCGAGGACAACCTGCAGTAGACTACCACTGGTTTTGAGATATGAAAACCACAGGCAGAGGTGGCATTCAGCCGGTTCTGACCAGTTCTGGAGAACCGGTAGCAGAAATTTTGAGTAGTTCAGAGAACCGGCAAATACCACCTCTAACTGGCCCCACCAACCCCATCTATTCTCTGCCTCCCGAGTCCCAGCTGATCAGCTGGGTCTTCTTTTATTGCCCTGCACAGGAGAACGGAACTGGAAAGCAGGTTAGTGGGGTGGGGAGGGAAGGGAGATTTTGCAGTATCCTTCCTCTGGAGTGGGGTGGGAATGGAGTATCCTTCCCCTGCCATGCCCACCAAGCCATGCCATGCCCACAGAACTGGTAGTAAAAAAAATTTGAATCCGTCTATCGACCACAGGGTATCACTTGGTCCTGGAAACACTAACTCCATTCCCTTCTCCTTGGCTGATTGCTCTGTCTTTTGACAGATGCCATGCAGTCATTGCACTGCACTAAAGCAGTAAGCCTTTCGCCGTTCTCATTCTTGAAAACAGACACATTGCGATTGTTCAGGACGAATACAGAGATGTGGGAGAAGGAACGGCAGAATCTGGAGGTAGAGTGAAATGAGGGATCCGCCTAGAATCCCTACATAGTCACAAGCAAACTAAGTCCAACCCCCCTTGAGAGCCACTGTCCCTTATCTAACTCTTAACCACGTGATGACCATTACTTGAGATGATGGCCGTGCATAATGAGGGAAGATACCCTTCTCTTAGGAGAATGAAATATTTTGAGAAATATTTAAAAGGCAGAATAATTATATTTCCCTAAAGGAGGAATGGAGAAATATGCTCTTGGAGACAGAAAAAGACAGCCCCCACCTTTCTTAATAGCCTCCAGCAGATATTTTTTGCCCATTAAGAAAGACTGGGCCATCCTATTTAGAAAAACAAAAGACCTTCAGCTCCTGGATGATGGGATTAAGACACGACCCTCCAGGACATAATAGGATTAACCCACGAGCCACAGAGCTCACTACATTGCACAGTCTCCTCAGGCAGGGGTCTTCAAACTTGACCGCTTGAAGACTTGTGGACTTCAACTCCCACAATTCCTCCTTCGGTCATGTTAGTTTAGGAATTCTGGGAGTTGAAGTCCACAAGTCTTAAACTTGCCAAGTTTGAAGACCCTTGTCCTAAGGGCATTGCATCAGTGTCCAAACTTCAACCAAACCTGAGAGCTCAGACAACCCACAGAGCCAGCTATGACCCTCTACAACAGCCAATAGAATACATGTTCTTGCACGGGAACAGGAAGCTCAAGTGCAAAGCCCAAGAGAAAGTATAACTACTCCCCACTCTCAACTCCACCTGGTCAGCTTCCCAGGACCACAAACCCATATGGTTCTGCTTCATCATTAAGCCATTTTTCCAATCAGCCTCCATGTTTCCAAGTGTCTATAAATCAGCTTAACAGGACCTTTCTTTGGTGTGTTTTTTTTTCTCTCCCCCAACCTAGAATTTGCAAGAGAAGAAGGACAGCCAGATTCGTGAACTGGAGGCCGGCCTGAGCGACATGGAATTAGAAAAGGTGAAACTGATGAACGTGTGCTCGGAAAGGCTGCGGATCCTAAAAGAGATGAAACTGGAGCGAGAAGAACTTGTGAATGAAATCAAAGCCAGCCGCATTGAGCTCAGTGCCCTCGCAGGTGTTCGTCAATTTCATCGCTCTTTCTTGGAGTCTTTATTCTCAGATCCCCGAGACACGTGTTTCTCAACCTTGGCAAGCTTTAAGGTGTGCGGACTTCGACTCCCAAAATCCTTGAGCCAGCTGTGGGAATTCTGGGAGTCGAAGTCCACGCCAGGGTTGAGAAACATCTCCCTAGGGGTACTTGGGATTGCAGGGTTTACGTTTCCCAAACGTGAAGGTGAACCCAGAAAGATGTCCAAATTGTGGAATTCTGATTTAGGGGAAGACATCCAATTGGCAGAGTGTTTAGAAGGTGGCATTGCAGGCTAACTCTGCCCACGGTCTGGAGTTTAATCCGGAGCTTGACTTAGCCTTCCATCCTTCCGAGATTGATCAAATGAGAACCCAGATTGTTGGGAGCAAAATGCTGACATTGTAAGCCTCCCAGAGAGTGCTGTCAAAGCACTATGGAGTGGTATATACAGTAAGTCTAAGCACTATTATTATTGCTATCAAATTGTGCTGTTACCAGGGTGTGGAATTCTGATTTTATCAAACACCAAATTGTTGATATGAGATCTTTCTCTCTCTCTCTCTTCTCTCCCTCTCTCTTCTCAGACCTGCCTCTTTTATGAAACCCTTTATCAGTTCAAATGTCCCTTTCCCTGTCCACTCTTTCCTCGCTTTGATTGACACCTCCTAAGTAATTGACTTGGGATTCCAAGAAAGATCTGCAAATCCTTCGCTCGTAACCCTGCTGCACCCTGCTTGCATTTCCTGGAGATCACCAGTTAGGGAGGGGCCACCAATCAGTTCATGCAAGAAGCAAAACTTCAGCCGTCTGGCCTATGCTAAAGGCTTTCCTTTACTAGAATAAGCCCCGTGAGCTCCATTAAGAAGTTAAATCCTTAGTATATATAACGAGGACGGAGCTGGAGAAGATAGCTGAAAGGTAAAAAGTGAAAGCAAAGTCGCGGTTAAACCAGGGATTGGCCGGGATCTCAAACACATATACCCATGCACTCAAACCCACATTTACCCAGTCTCAGTGCATGAGATAAAACAGAATAATCCTGCTATTAGCTTCACTGTTTCAAATGTTTGCTTCCCCAATTCACTAGATCAGGGGTGTTAAACTCAAGGCCCACCGGCTGAATCTGGCCCGGGGGATGCTTAGATCCAGCCTGCGCGACTGGCAAAGGACCAGTCAGATAACAGATAACTGATAATCAGAGTTGGAAGGGACCTTGTAGGTCATCTAGTCCAACCCCCTGCCCAAGCAGGAGACCCTACACCATTTCTGACAGATAGGAGTCCAGTCTTTCTTGAAAGTCTCAAGTGATGGTGCTCCCACAGCTTCTGAAGGCAACTTCTGTTCCATTGATTGATTATTCTCACTGTCAGAAAATTTCTCCTTATTACCAGGTTGAATCTCTCCTTATTCAATTTCCATGCATTATTCCTTGTCTGGCCTACAGGTGCTTCAGAAAATAGCTTGACCCCTTCCTCTCTGTGGCAGCCCCTCAAATATTGGAAGACTGCTATCATGTCTCCCCTGGTCCTTCTCTTCACTAGACTAGCCATGCCCAGTTCCTGGAACCATTCTTCATATGTTTTAGTCTCCAGTCCCCAAATCATCCTGTTAGCTCTTCTCTGCACTTTTTTTCTAGAGTCTCAACATCTTTTTTATAGTGTGGTGACCAAAACTGGATGCAGTATTCTTAGTATTTTTACTAAGGCTTTATAGAGTGGTATTAGTTACCTCACTTGATCTCGATTGTATCCCTCTGTTAATACAACTTAGGATTGCATTAGCTTTTAGGATTGCCTTAGCAGTCCATGGTGCCTCTGCCAGCAACTCTGTTTATTCTGTTACTATCTTGCTTCAATCAACTTCAAAGAAAAAAACATACACAAACCTCAGAAGACAAAACGAAGACTTCTTCCCTCTCTGCTTATTTTTTGTGAATGCGCCTACCTAAGATTAAATTCTCAGCACTGGATTTCCCCCAAATTTTGGTTTTCCCACCTGTGATCTGGTTAGATGGATCAAGTAGGTTTCTCTTACTCCTTTCAGTGTCTGACCATCTTAAAATGAAACCTCCCCACTTTCAGACATGCAAGGGCATTCTCCCTGGAGCAAGTGATATTGCACGCATCACAACGTCGTCACACAAATGTGAATTGTGTTTTTGCATTATCAAGCAAGCGGGAGAGTTGGGTTTTATTCCACCACGGTTATAGCATAACACAAGCCCAGCGTGACTTTGATTCAGTTTGTTTCTCTTTCGCTGCAGAGGAAGCAGAAATCATCAAGAATGACTACCGAGAGAAGAATGAAGAGATGGAAGCCATTGTGAGCAAACTGAAAATGCAGCTGAAATCTGCTCAGATTGAACTGGAGCAAACCAGGGCAACTTTGAAGACCATGGAGGGCTCGGATGGCCATGGTAATGGTGCGACTTTCGTTGTATACAATTATTTTTTCTTGTCTGCGGAGGAGATTCTCAGGTCATCATGTCTCGGGAGATTCTCAGTGATCCAGGTCATGGTTCTCCCAATGGTGTTTTTTTCAAGAGGCAACTGGACTATCTTTGTTTTTTTTCTTTGAAGATGTTTCCCTCCTCATCCAAGAAGCTTCTTCTGTCAGTGTTCCAGCGATTGCCCTAATTAAATCATGAGCCTCGAGCCAAGCTTCAAAAGAATCCAAAAGATTTACTAGGAGCAACATATCAGCATTAACCTGTATGAAGCCAACTCTGACACATGTGATTTATGGGTCACCTGTGATCCTGTTTCTCCCCTCCCCCCAGGTGTGTCATAAATTAGATTCTCCAACAAAACAGTTCACAGGCTGGTTGTCATCAATCAAATTCTCCAATGAAGGATTTTTGCAGGCAGAAGATCAGGTAGCCTAGCTGCAATCTTTGTAAGATAAGTGTGGAATGTACTTCTAGTTTTAATTTCCTAATGCTCCTTCAGGCTTCCCCCCCCTCCTGCTTATGACAACTCGAAAACAAGCATAGGAATGCTTTACGAGTTGAGATCTTCTCATCCAAGAAGCTGAAGAAGCTTCTTGGATGAGAAGCGAAACATCTTCAAAGAAAAAAAAACAGAAAGTCCAGTTGCTACTTGAAAAAGCACCTTTGGGATTCTCAGGTCATGATTGTTCCAAAGGTGCTTTCTTTCTCCAGAGACATTTAGCTATGCACTTTGGGATGTCCAGAAAAAAAAAATTGCAGACTACAGGATTCAGGGGACCCTGAGGGCGCAGATAATCCTCCAAGTGGCTTCAATGGCTCTCAGAGGAAGTGCTAACGACCAGATGACTGCAAGGAATATAAATCCTTCCATTCCCCACCATTTAGTCGGAACCAGAGAAGCTTCTTGGACAAGAAGGGAAACGTCTTCCAGAAAAAACAAAGAAAGTCCAGTTGCCTTTTGAAATTAAAAAAAAACAAACACCTTTCAGACAATTATTTTCCTTCTTTTGCAAGGGGTAGAATGGTTAAACCTGTTAATTTTAATCGATTTTTCACATGAATGCCATCAAACCTGATCAGAGCATTTCATCTGAGATTATAAGAATGATTTGATTCACAAAATAGAATGGAATGGAATGGAATGGAATGGAATGGAATGGAATGGAATAGAATAGAATAGAATAGAATAGAATAGAATAGAATAGAATAGAATAGAATAGAATAGAATAGAATAGAATAGAATAGAAT